CCTTTCAGTCCCGCCGGAAACCCGAACCTGAAATAGAAGTTCCTGGACCGCGGAGCGCGCTGTGAAGCCGGCCCACGCTCCAAGACAGGTAAGTAATTATGGGACAAGGGGAGGGGGATACACTATGGGACAAGGGGAGGGGAGGAAACACTATGGGACAAGGGGAGGGGGACACTATGGGACAAGGGGAGGGGAGGAGACACTATGGGACGAGGGGAGGAGACACCATGGGACAAGGGAGGGGACACTCATGGGAGAAAGGGAGGGAGACACTATGGACAAGGGGAGGGGGGACACTATGGGACAAGGGGAGGGGAAGAGACACTATGGGACAAGGGGAGGGGAAGAGACACTATGGGACAAGGGGAGGGGAAGAGACACTATGGGACAAGGGGAGGGGGACACTATGGGAGAAAGGGAGGGGAGACACTATGGGAGAAAGGGAGGGGAGACACTATGGGAGAAAGGGAGGGGAGACACTATGGGAGAAGGGGAGGGGGGACACTATGGGAGAAAGGGAGGGGAGACACTATGGGACAAGGGGAGGGGGGGACACTATGGGACAAGGGGAGGGGGGACACTATGGGACAAGGGGAGGGGGGACACTATGGGACAAGGGGAGGGGGAGACACTATGGGACAAGGGCAGGGGGGGACACTATGGGAGGGAAAGTGCACTATGGGACAATGGGAGGGGGGACACTATGGGATCAGAACACTAATGGACAAGGGGAGGAGGGGTTAAAGAACACTATGGGACAGGGTAGGAGGGGTTAAAGAACACTATGGGACAGGGGAGGAGGGGTTAACAATCACTATGGGACAGAGGAAAGGGGGGTTAAAAGATCATTATGGGACAGGGGAGAAAAAAAAATATTCTGAACAAACTGTCCCATGGTAAGAAACACTATGGAACAGTTTGTTCAGAATATTTTTTTTTCTGGGTTTCCTCCTCTAAAAACTAGGTGCGTCTTATGGTGAGGTGCGTCTTATGGAGCGAAAAATACGGTATATATATATTACACACACAATATAAATATATATATATATATATTACACACACAATATAAATATATATATATATATTACACACACAATATAAATAAATATATATATATTACACACACAATATAAATAAATATATATATATATATATATATATATATATATATATATATATATATATATATATATATATATATATATATATAGATATATATGTACTTTTATAAAATTATAAAAAAAATTGCATTTTTCACACACAACAAATATGAATGCTAACTTTGGCCAGTGTTTGTGACTAAGTGGCTACGAAAAAAGACTGCAATACCTTGGGTTGTCTACTTTTGCAAATGGTATGTAATCATTACTGGGTAATTTTCATTCATGGGCTACCATTTGGTCTCGAAGGGAACATAACCAGTCTGGCAAATTTCAATGTGTATAAACTGAAAGATGGAATGTGCTCTATTTGACCCTGTAACTTTCCAAAACACCATAAAACCTGTACATTGGGGGTACTGCTTTATTCATGAGACATAGCTGAATACAGATATGTGTATTTTATTTCAGTAACAGCTAACAGTATTGTGGCATTCACAGTTATAATGTCATGCAGAACTTTAAAAAAAATTTAATGTCTCACATTTATTTAAATTTTATTCATATTAAATTATGTTTCATAGCTAAATATTTGATGTTAAATGAAAGGCCTATTTCTCCTGAATAAAATGATATATAATATATAAATATATACATATGGTCAAATTCCAAGTTTTGTTTACATTTTATTTTGATCAAAACGTGTACATTTGGCTCAGTCCTTAAGGGGTTAATATAGTTGGACAAATATTTTATGTGTTTATTCTGGCTTAAACATATACTCATGGATGCCAAAAGCATGTGAAATTATTTGCCCACTAACCATCTTCTTAAGATTTTTATTCATCCTCCTGTCTTGAACAGCTGCCGGATGTTTGCCAAGTAAAGAAAAATCAATTATATAAAAACAAGGTAAAGAAAGCTTTATTTCCTCCAATATTCAGGTAGGAATAAAAATTAATTGAGTGAATATATGACATTAATAAAATCCACATGATACACAATAATTTTATACCTTTACTTTTGTCTAGATTTGTGAAGTTAAGTGCTAAATTTCAAAAGCAAGGGTTTTTGAATAACTTTTCCAGTTTTATGTTTGTATACTCAAATGGAAATTAAATATGACTGTATAATAGAAACCATGCTGATGTTATTATTATTAGGAAATTATGGAAACGTAGTCTTAGGCTGTAGGTTGTTGAATTGTATTCGCATGATTCTGCTATTAACTGTATTCCAGTGACTGTTTTCGAGATGTCCCAATAAAATAAGAAACAACTGATTTTGGCTATGTAGCTACATAAAAATGTAGTACGATGAATCCTGTAAATTTTGCATGCTCTTGGTTGAGCCATTTACCAAAGTGACCACATACAGTACGCGGACATGTAACGCAGCTTAGTTCACATGGGTTGAAGCCCTTCATACCTACCTAAACCACCCACCTCCCCACCATGGTAATGCTGTTAAATGTTTTGCCATGTGAATGAGGCACGGTGCTAGTCTAGTGGTGGTGAAAGCTGGAGACGATTGGAATACAAGTCTGAAATCAGTCCTGCTGATGGGACTATTCCAGCTGAATCGAGACAGTTGGCACCTATGACCATTACAGAAATATCACATTTTTGCTGAGAATTTAAAGTAGTTTGGGAATTTGTTTGAAATTCCAATCACGTATAGGATAGTGCAGGATAGATCCGAACCATCACAGCCTTGTTATTCTATGTGAGATCAATGTCACGGATAGACAGAGAACAGCTTGCCGGAAAGTTGGCAAGAGGTTATTATACAGACTGATTTATTACTGCCCTTTATTGTGGATTAATTATGGGTCACCTTAAAGCAACGTTCGTTGTGACTTATTAAAATAAAAAGCTGTATTCCTTTGTAAGTGCTGTCTAATGTTCTATGTACTAAGCAATAATATGTAAACTACTGATTTTTTAATGTTAATTTAACAACAGATCTATTTTAACCTTTCATGCTATGTTCACTGATCACAGATGCCTCCTAATACCTGCTCAAACTGTAGGTGTTTTGAGAAGCAGACACATTTCCCAGTCCAGCATAGAACTCAGAGCTCCATCAGCTGTTCCATGGCCATTTGAAACAGTCTGATTTTTAAACATACCCAGTCCAGCATAGAACTCAGAGCTCCATCAGCTGTTCCATGGCCATTTGGAACAGTCTGATTTTTAAACATACCCAGTCCAGCATAGAACTCAGAGCTCCATCAGCTGTTCCATGGCCATTTAAAACAGTCTGATTTTTAAACATACCCAGTCCAGCATAGAACTCAGAGCTCCATCAGCTGTTCCATGGCCATTTGAAACAGTCTGATTTTTAAACATGCCCAGTCCAGCATAGAACTCAGAGCTCCATCAGCTGTTCCATGGCCATTTGAAACAGTCTGATTTTTAAACATACCCAGTCCAGCATAGAACTCAGAGCTCCATCAGCTGTTCCATGGCCATTTGAAACAGTCTGATTTTAAAACATACCCAGTCCAGCATAGAACTCAGAGCTCCATCAGCTGTTCCATGGCCATTTGAAACAGTCTGATTTTTAAACATACCCAGTCCAGCATAGAACTCAGAGCTCCATCAGCTGTTCCATGGCCTTTTGAAACAGTCTGATTTTTAAACATACCCAGTCCAGCATAGAACTCAGAGCTCATCAGCATTTCCATGGCCATTTAGAACAGTCCTGATTTTTTAAACATACCCAGTCCAGCATAGAGACTCAGGCTCCATCAGCTGTTCCATGGCCATTTTGAAACAGTCTGATTTTTAAACTTATACCCAGTCCAGCATAGAACTCAGGCTCATCAGCTGTTCCATAGCCCATTTGAAACAGTCCTGATTTTTAAACATACCCAGTCCAGCATAGAACTCAGAGCTCCATCAAAACATTTCCATGGCCAGAATTTTAGAAACAGTCTGATTTTTAAACATGATCCAGCATAGAACTCAGAGCTCCATCAGCTGTTTCATGGCCATTTGAAACAAGTCTGATTTTAAACATACCCAGTCCAGCATAGAACTCAAAGCTCCATCAGCTGTTCCATGGCCATTTGAAACAGTCTGATTTTTAAACATACCCAGTCCAGCATAGAACTCAGAGCTCCATCAGCTGTTCCATGGCCATTTGAAACAGTCTGATTTTTAAACATACCCAGTCCAGCATAGAACTCAGAGCTCCATCAGCTGTTCCATAGCCATTTGAAACAGTCTGATTTTTAAACATACCCAGTCCAGCATAGAACTCAGAGCTCCATCAGCTGTTCCACGGCCATTTGAAACAGTCTGATTTTTAAACATACCCAGTCCAGCATAGAACTCAGAGCTCCATCAGCTGTTCCATGGCCATTTGAAACAGTCTGATTTTAAAACATACCCAGTCCAGCATAGAACTCAGAGCTCCATCAGCTGTTCCATGGCCATTTGAAACAGTCTGATTTTTAAACATACCCAGTCCAGCATAGAACTCAGAGCTCCATCAGCTGTTCCATGGCCATTTGAAACAGTCGGATTTTTAAACATACCCAGTCCAGCATAGAACTCAGAGCTCCATCAGCTGTTCCATGGCCATTTGAAACAGTCTGATTTTTAAACATACCCAGTCCAGCATAGAACTCAGAGGCTCCATCAGCTGTTCCGCTAGCCATTGAAACAGTCTGATTTTAAACTTTATACCAGTCCAGCATAGAACTCGAGCTCCATCAGCTGTTCCATGGCCATTTGGGGAAACAGTCTGATTTTTAAACATACCCAGTCCAGCATAGAACTCAGAGCTCCATCAGCTGTTCCATGGCCATTTGAAACAGTCTGATTTTTAAACATACCCAGTCCAACATAGAACTCAGAGCTCCATCAGCTGTTCCATGGCCATTTGAAACAGGTAGCCTTCTGGAAGACTGACTTTTCATTATATGTCTACGTACCCTGTTAATTTTTGTTGTCTGTGTATGTTTTTATATTTAGTATATATTATTTAGTTTTATTCTTTTAAATGTATACATTTTCATGTCTTTGTAACTATAGCCTGTGCTAATCATGCAAAGTATTTTATCTCCTTTGTCTTTGTCCATCATGTTAAAAGTTAGTTTAACCAGCTCAGGCCCATATATCTTTCCTGTTCCTTGTTTAATGGTTTTATTTCCCTACTCAAATACCTCTGTCTTATCTCTGTAATTCTCAATCTTTGCTTTTTGTTTTTCCTTAAATGACCTTAAATCAAATGTCCATCTATGCACCCCCCCATCTCTTAGCCCATCTGACTCTAATATACATCTCTCTCCCACAGTCTGATTTTTACACATACCCAGTCCAGCATAGAACTCAGAGCTCCATCAGCTGTTCCATGGCCATTTGAAACAGGTAGCCTTCTGGAAGACTGACTTTTCATTATATGTCTACGTACCCTGTTAATTTTTGTTGTATGTGTATGTTTTTATATTTAGTATATATTATTTAGTTTTATTCTTCTCAATGTATACATTTTCATGTCTTTGTAACTATAGCCTGTGCTAATCATACAAAGTATTTTATCACCTTTGTCTTTGTCCATCATGTTAAAAGTTAGTTTAACCAGCTCAGGCCCATATATCTTTCCTGTTCCTTGTTTAATGGTTTTATTTCCCAACTTAAATACCTCTGTCTTATCTCTGTGATTCTCAATCTTTGCTTTTGTTTTTCCTTAAATCAAATGTCCATCTGCACCCCATCTCTTAGCCCATCTGACCCTAGCCTTGTCTCTCTCCAGTCTGATTTTTAAAACACCCAGTCAACATAGAACTCAGAGCTCCATCAGCTGTTCCATGGCCATGTGAAACAGTCTGATTTTTAAACATACCCAGTCCAGCATAGAACTCAGAGCTCCATCAGCTGTTCCATGGCCATTTGAAACAGTCTGATTTTTAAACATACCCAGTCCAGCATAGAACTCAGAGCTCCATCAGCTGTTCCATGGCCATTTGAAATAGTCAGATTTTTAAACATACCCAGTTCAGCATAGAATCTCAGAGCTCCATCAGCCAGTTCCATGGCCATTTGAACAGTTCGATTTTTAAACATACCCAGTCCAGCATAGAATTTCACAGAGGTGCCCATCGGCTGTTCCATGGCCATTTGAAACAGTCTGATTTTTAAACATACCCAGTCCAGCATAGAACTCAGAGCTCCATCAGCTGTTCCATGGCCATTTGAAACAGTCTGATTTTTAAACATACCCAGTCCAGCATAGAACTCAGAGCTCCATCAGCTGTTCCATGGCTATTTGAAACAGTCTGATTTTTAAACATACCCAGTCCAGCATAGAACTCAGAGCTCCATCAGCTGTTCCATGGCCATTTGAAACAGTCTGATTTTTAAACATACCCAGTCCAGCATAGAACTCAGAGCTCCATCAGCTGTTCCATGGCTATTTGAAACAGTCTGATTTTTAAACATACCCAGTCCAGCATAGAACTCAGAGCTCCATCAGCTGTTCCATGGCCATTTGAAACAGTCTGATTTTTAAACATACCCAGTCCAGCATAGAACTCAGAGCTCCATCAGCTGTTCCATGGCCATTTGAAATAGTCAGATTTTTAAACATACCCAGTTCAGTATAGAACTCAGAGCTCCATCAGCTGCTGTTCCATGGCCATTTGAAACAGTCTGATTTTAAACATACCCAGTCCAGCATAGAACCAGAGCTCCATCAGTTAAATTCCTATGTACATTTGAAACAGTCTGATTTTAAACACATACCCAGTCCAGCATAGAATCAGAGCTCCATCAGCTGTTCCATGGCCATTTGAACAGCTCTCTGAAGACTGACTTTTCATTATATTTCAATGCACTCTGTTAATTTTGTTGTATGTGTGTATGTTTTATATTTAGTATATATTATTTGTTTTATTCTTTTCAATGTATACATTTTCAGTGCTCATAACTAGCCTTGTGCTAATCATGCAAAGTATTTTATCACCTTGTCTTTTAACCATCATGTTAAAAGTTAGTTTAACCAGTTTCAGGCCTCCATATATCTTTCCTGTTCCTTGTTTAATGGTTTTGTTTCCCTACTTAAATACCTCTGTCTTATCTCTGTAATTCTCAATCTTTGCTTTTGTTTTTCCTTAAATGACCTTAATCAAATGTCCATCTATGCACCCCCCCCCCCATCTCTTAGCCCATCTGACCCTAATATACATCTCTCTCCCACAGTCTGATTTTTAAACATACCCAGTTCAGCATAGAACTCAGAGCTCCATCAGCTGTTGGACATTTGAAACAGGTAGCCTTCTGGAAGACTGATTCCCCGCCCACCCACGGTCATTTCCTCATTTATAGATAGTCTTCCACGCAACTTTCAGTCTACTGAAATGACAGGTGCAAACACTGATCCGCACACCCTTCCAATCTCTTAACCCTATAGAACACATACCCTCTCTCCCTTCAAATAGATATATCACACTCCAATACTATATACTTTTATTTCATTTTTGTTTTTCACGATTTCTGTTTCATTTTCAACTACACACCTCATACCAGGGGCGGACTGAGAGCCTTTGGGGCCCCCGGGCAAAATTAGATCCCAGGCCCTTTGAAGGCCAAATATATGTGCATTAAATAAATGTTAAATATAACTCATAATACAGCATTCCTTTGGATGTGTATATTGTGAAGACCTGTGTATCAATGCATGTTTGTATTTGAGTCTGTGTGAATGCACTTGTGCATGTCGGGATGACTACATGTGCTTTTTTATATATAGTGTCTGTGTGAATGCATATGTGACAGGTGACAGTGTGTGAGGGAGAAGGTGACAGGTGGAAAAGTGTGGGAGGTTGTGACAGGTGGCAGAGTGAGGGGGTACCTGGTGGCAGAGTGAGGGAGGGAGGGGTTGAGTGGTGACAGAGTGAGGGGGAGACACAGTGAGTGGGGGTGACTAGTGACATATTGAGGGAGAGGGGGTGACTAGTGACAGAGTTAGGGAATGGGTGACTAGTGGCAGAGTGAGGGAGGGAAAAGATGACTAGTGGCAGAGTGAGGGAGGGAAGGGGTGACTGGTGACAGAGTGAGGGGATGACTGGTGACAGAGTGAGGGAGTGACTAGTAACAGAGGGAGGGAGTGACTAGTGACAGAGGGAGGGGGTGACTGTCACTAGTCACCCCATCCCTCTCTCTGTCACTAGTCACTCCCTCCCTAACTCTGTCACTGTGTCACCCACTCCCTCACTCTGTCACTAGTCACTCCCTCCCTAACTCTATCACCAGTCACCCCTTCCTTCCTTCACAGTGACAGAGTTAGGGAGGGAGTAACTAGTGACAGAGTGAGGGAGTGGGTGACACAGTGACAGAGTTAGGGAGGGAGTGACTAGTGACAGAGAGAGGGATGGGGTGACTAGTGACAGTCACCACCTCCCTCACTCTGTCACTAGTCACCACCTCCCTCCGTCACTGTGTCACCCCCTCCCTCACTCTGTCACCAGTCATCCCCTTACTCTGTCACTAGTCACCCCTCCCTTCCCTCACTCTGCCACTAGTCACCCCTTCCCTCACTCTGTCACCTGTCACCCCCTCACTCTGTCACTAGTCACCCCCTCACTCTAGTGACAGAGAGAGGGAGGGTGTGACTAGTGACAGTGAGTAAGGGTGTGACTAGTGACAGAGAGAGGGAGGGTGTGACTAGTGACAGAGTGAGGGAGGGATGGGGTGACTAGTGAGAGTGAGGGAGGTGGTGATTAGTGACAGAGGGAGGAATGGGGTGACTATCACTGTGTCACCCCCTTCCTCACTCTGTCACTAGTCACCCTCTCCCTCCCTCACTCGGTCACTAGTCACCCCCTCTCTCACTCTATCACCAGTCATTCCCTCACTCTGTCACCAGTCACCCCTTCCTTCCTTCACAGTGACAGAGTGAGGGGATGACTGGTGACAGAGTGAGGGAAGGGATGAATAGTGGCAGAGTGAGGGAAGGAAGGGATGACTGGTGACAGAGTGAGGGAATGACTGGTGACAGAGTGAGAGAGGGGGTGAATAGTGACCGAGTGAGGGAGGGAGAGGGTGACTAGTGACAGAGTGAGGAAGGGGGTGACACAGTGATAGTCACCCCATTCCTCCCTCTGTCACTAATCACCACCTCCCTCACTCTCACTAGTCACCCCTTCCCTCCCTCACTCTGTCACTAGTCACACCCTCCCTCTCTCTGTCACTAGTCACACCCTCCCTCTCTCTGTCACTAGAGTGAGGGGGTGACTAGTGACAGAGTGAGGGGGTGACTAGTGACAGAGTGAGGGGGTGACTAGTGATAGAGTGATGGGGTGACTAGTGACAGTTACCACCTCCTTCACTCTGTCATTGTGTCACCCCCTTCCTCACTCTGTCACTAGTCACCCACTCCCTCCCTCACTGTCACTAGTCACTCACTCTGTCACTAGTCATCCCCTTCCTTACTGTCACTAGTGACCCACTCCCTCTGTCACTAGTGACCCACTCCCTCTGTCACTAGTGACTCACACCCTCCCTCTCTCTGTCACTAGTCACACCCTCCCTCACTCTGTCACTAGAGTAAGGGGGTGACTAGTGACAGAGGGAGGGGATGACTGGTGACAGAGTGAGGGACGGAGGGGGTGACTAGTGATAGAAGGAGGGAGGGAGTAGTGACAGAGGGAGGTGATGACTAGTGACAGAGTAAGGGAGCTGGTGACTAGTGACAGTCACCACCTCCCTCACTCTGTCACAGTCATCCCCTTACTCTGTCACTAGTCACCCCTCCCTTCCCTCACTCTGCCACTAGTCACCCCTTCCCTCCCTCTGTCACTAGTCACCACCTCCCTCTCTCTGTCACTAGTCACCCCCTCCCTCTCTCTGTCACTAGTCACACCCTCCCTCACTCTGTCACTAGAGTGAGGGGGTGACAGGTGACAGAGTGAGGGAAGAGGTGACTAGTGGCAGAGTGAGGGGATGACTAGTGACAGAGTGAGGGAGGTGACGACTAGTGACAGTGGGGGGGTGACTAGGGACGGGGGGTGACTAGTGACAGAGGAGGGGGGTGACTAGTGACAGAGGAGGGGGGTGACTAGTGACAGTGAGGAGGGGGGGTGACTAGTGACAGTGAGGAGGGGTGACTAGTGACAGTGGGGGGGGTGACTCCAGTGACAGAGGAGGGGGTGACTAGTGACAGTGAGGGGGGTGACTAGTGACAGTGGGGGGGTGGGACTCAGTGACAAAGAGGGGGGGGTGACTAGTGACAGTGAGGGGGGTGACTGAGGACAGTGGGGACTAGTGACAGTGGGGTGACTGGGTGACAGGACTAGTAACAGAAAGGGTGACTGGTGACAGGTGTGGACTAGTAAATAGTGGGGGGTGATCACAGCAAATAGTAGTGACTAGTGACGGGGCGGACTAGGGACAGGGGTAAGTGACTAGTAACAGTGGGGTGACTAGTGACGGGGTAGGGACAGGGGTGACTAGTAGTGGGACAGGGGTGACTAGGGACAGTGGGGGGGGGGTGACTAGGGAGGGGGTGATTAGAGCCTACCTGTGCTTACTCTGCTCTTTCCCAGGCTGCTGCTCCTTCCCCTCGCTGGGCTCTGTGTGTGAGAGGAGAGTACAGGAAGTGATGTCACTTCCTGGCCCCGCCTCTCCCATCACACAGAGCACCGCGGGACAGGGAGAAGGAGACCTGGCAGAGAGGGAGAGGAGGTAAAGCTGCCAGGTCTCCATGGGGGGGGGACTTACAGGGCGGTAGGTTGTGGGGCCCCAAGCTGCATCAGGGGCCCCACAACCTATCAATTAAATATTTTTATTTTATTTATTTTTTCGTTCCAGTTGGAGAGATCTCTGATCTCTGATCTCTCCAGCTGGAGCATGGCTGTGCTGCCGGGCCCCTGACTGCCTCGGGCCCTCGGTCCATGACCGAAGTGCCCGAGTGGTCAGTCCGCCCATGGTTACAGCCTAGTGATAACTTCACTGCCCACTCCTCAGATGACTGTTAGAGCTCCTTCCTGGGTCATGGCTGCCTAAAATGCATCCAAACATTCCGTATCTCCTCCCTCTGCATGCAGACACTGAACTTTCCTCATAGAGATACATTGATTCAATTCATCTCTATGAGGAGATGCTGATTGGCCAGGACTGTGTTTGAATCATGCTGTTGACACTCTCATAGCCCAAGAAGTTGCCTCCTTGTCAGTCTCAGCCAATCCTATGGAGAAGCATTGTGATTGGATCAGGCTACCACTTCTGATGATGTCAGCAGACAGCTTGTTTTTCTGAGGCAAACAGCATGCAGAGTTACAGCTTTAAGCTTGAATACAGTAAAATTTTACTATTTTCAGGGAGGCATATGGGGCCCATGGGTTTTAGATGGTGGTTTTAACACTATAGGGTCAGGAATACATGTTTGTGTTCGCCTTGTATATACCTGTTACGGTACCCTCAGCATGAAATGTACAAATCGCCGTTTAGTGAATGCTCCCCGTTCGCAATAACATAGGCTGCATGCGTATCCAGTATAATCATGCGAACCGCAAGCAAGGGAACGCTGCAAACTCACGAACGGGATCCGTACGGGCACTTCACTCCACGAGCTCCAAACTCACGAATCGCCAATATTAGCCGAACGCAGGTATCTCCCAAGCGGCTAATAATCCCATCCAGTAGTCTCTAGTCGTCGGTAATAAATCCCCCCAATAACGAGACCAAGCTCCGCATTGAGGGTAAAACAAGAACTGGCTTTACTGTGGGCTACCTGCCCGTATTTATGCAGGTCTCCCACTTGGTGGACACTCCCCTAGGGGACCAAATGGGAGACTGTGACAATAGACAGACATATGGCAGATTAGGACACACAGACACAAAATATTCCCAGCATGCTGTAGTAATTCCTCCCCTCTGCCCTGGAGATAATTGAGAAGTAATCTCCAGGACAGAGGCAAATCGCCATTTTAAATTTAACACATAAAACACATAAAAATACATAACTTTATATTTGTCGAATGCTACCCATTCGTATCACATATCTCCAGATAGCCTGGATCTGAGTGCATATTATTGGCGAATAGCGCTCAGATCCCATACGCATAGTTCAATCGCCATGGAGTCAAAGTCTATTACAGTCCTTCGGTATGCGATTGACTCCATGGGAAGGCTATCTGGGGTAAGTCCATTCATGCATTTCAACCTCCCGAACGGCCGGTGTTCGCATACTTCTGTCGATTGAGAAGGGAGGTCGGCGGCTTCAGCGGTGTTCGGCTGAAAAAGTGTCCGTTTTCAGTTCCATGAAATCAATCCCGAACACCGCTGGTCTTTCGCATGGTTTAAAATGGCCGCCGCCTCGTGGTCGACATACGAACGACGACCACCCTGTATTCGGTTTTAATTGAGAAGGGTCTCTGGTTAACCGCAACGTTCTAATTGGGATCAATAGGTTAACCAGCAGCACACTTCTCTTCTGGGTGGCCGTCCGTTCGGCAGAAAAGTCAATTCACGGAACAGGGGCATATGAACGGGTAATTTCGTGAAAAAGGCAAAAGAGACGAATCCAGCAATCTTAGTCTATACAGATGGATCTGTCACAATACCAAAGCCAGTTAATGAGTTACGACAGGTATTTCGTGATTTGTTTTGCCCTCTTTATTACAGGCCTACTGCATTGTCGGTTCCGGCACACCACAACCGATCGCAACCCAGGGACTCCTAAACCGTAAG